TGCTTTAAAATAACACAGAAAATAAACAGTCGAGTCCCACAGCAATGAATAAGAACAACCCAGCTCACAACATGGTGATATTCAGTAAGAGATGGTTTTGGAGATCCTCCCATCAGGCAAAACAAGGAAAAATCACCTCTTTAGAGTCGGTGACTCTGATTCCCTTTGAAAGTTTTTCTCTGAGGCTACAGATGAAAGAAGCCTCGAACATGTTTCTGATATTTGTAACCATTTTCACTGTGGAGTTGCTCTAATCTGACCTCTGATATTAGAAAAAGCACATTACTATTATAACGAGGCAGCGTCACAGTAAAAAGCTTCAGGGTATTTTATCATGGTATGCCTGGTTGCTAATACTTACCTTTACTGACACAGACCTGCTGTAGTGTCAAGCCTATACTGAGTCAGAAATAACCTGCGTAGGCCAAAGGAGTTGGTATAAATAACTTTGGATGGACTTTAACACCGTTTTCAGATCAGTATTGGCTGAGCGTCTCTCTTTTCCTTTGGCATGGATGATGTTTCAAACAAAGCATAACTCGTCTTATTAGATAGCTTACAAAGTTTGCTCGATTATCACATTGACCGTAGCTTGATCCTCATAGTCTTTAGTACTTAACAATAGTGTCACAGGGAGCAGAAATGACTACGTCCAGTTTGGCCTAGAACCAGAGGAAGAGCAAGTGAGGAACCTCGAATCACTGCTGCTGTTGGATAGAAACCTTGATACCGTCTGTCAGTGTGTGCTGAACGTGTTTCGTAGTGCAGTGACTCACAGTCCCTGTTGTATGAAAACCTGCTTGCAAAAAACAGCGTCTGTCTGCGTGAACGTAAGGCTACTACAGATACGTTTCTATCCAACCTAGCAGCTCTACTGCAAGGAAGCCAAAAGCTGTTTATTCTACTGAGGAATGGACAGAGGAGACAAGTGTCAGCTTGGATATCTTTTCTGCTGACTGACTTCCATTTTTCCCGAGACGTTAGGCCAGAGGTCGCTCTTCTGATGAATTGCACAATGATAAGGTGAATCTGAGGGTAAGTAGGTAGATAGGTAGCACACCATGAGGTGAGTGAGGCTGAGAACCATAAGAACCATATACATATATATGTATATACATATATATGTATAAAACATGTATATAATATATATACAGTACACATTACTTTTCTGAGGTTGACGTTGAGGTGAGATAGACTGAGGATCGGCTCAGACGACCAGGCTGGAGAGGGAAGTAGAAGGGGAGCAAGGACGAGGTAAGGAAAGCAGAGGTATCCTGTTCTCACGGGAAGAGAGAGTTCACCCCCCCCGGACAAGAGCCGCGTTTAGAGGGGTTTGCAGGAGCCGCTTTTCTTCTGTGGCTCATTTCCACAGAGATCACAGGGCCTACAGTCACCCAGTTCTGCCAGCTGTGTCAATATATGGAGTAAGGTGGAGTGGGGTTGGGGGTAATTACTGTGGACAAGGATTACTCGGAGGAGGGAGAGGAAGGGGGAGGCCGGGAGAGAAGGAAGAGTTGGTAAGGGGCTGGCTGAGGAGCAGATGCTGAGGAGCAGACGCTGAGGAGCAGACGATGAAGCTTTACTAAGGAGCATTACTTTGGTCTCTTTTCAGTCCCCCAACTCTATTACACTCCCCCTTCTCTCGTCCCCTTCCTCCATCCCAGGTCCGGTGCAGTTCATTCGTCCTCCAGGGACTCCGTCTTGATGTCGTTGGGCCCCCCTCCGGTTCTGGACAGGGCCAGGATGGTGTGGTTGACGGCAGCCATCTCCACAGCCAGAGAGATGGGGTCCTGGTGCTCGCTGTGCGCTGCGCTGTCGTCCTGGGAGAGGGAGGAGCAT